GGTAGAAGAAGCTTAGCATCAACATGATAAATGCTGATGAGACACTGGATGATGGATATATGAGACTTCTTTACACTTCCTTTAATGTTTAAAATTTTCAATAATACAAAGTTTTTGTTGGTTTGCTTGTTTGTTTTTAAGAATGAACCAAATGCATTCCTGCCAGCCTCAATCTTGTTTGTAGGGAAACTCTATTTGTGAACTTCTCAGCAGTTATTCAACTGTTTAACTTGATAAAGCACAATTTCCCCCAATTTTTCTTGTAAAGCTTATACATTTCTGCAAAAAAATTTTCCATTAGTTATATCACATTTTAATCAAGATGATTAAAATTTAGATTTAAACAATGTGGAAATGTGTTAGAAGTGTACTCTGAAGATGTGAAGTTGGCCGGGTGTGGTGGCTCACATCTGTAATCCCAGGACTTTGGGAGGCCAAGGTGGGAGGATCACTTGAGCCGAGAAGTTCAAGACAAGCCTGGGTGACACTGAGACACATTTCCTAAAAAAAAAAAAAAAAAAAGATGAAGGTCTCAGGTTAATTCAATCATAGAAAAATTTGATGAAATTGAAGATGGATGTATAAGCATCTTTTCGTGTTTTTGTTTTGTTTTTTTTTTTTGAGACAGAGTCTCACCCTGTCACCCAGGCTGGAGTGCAGTGGTGCGATCTTGGCTCACTGCAACCTCTGCCTCCTGGATTCAAGCAGTTCTCCTGCCTCAGCCTCCCGAGTAGCTGGGATTACAGGTGCCCGCCACCAAGCCCGGCTAATTTTTGTATTTAGTATTTTTGTATTTAGTAGAGATGGGGTTTCCACTATCTTGGCCAGGCTGGTCTTGAACTGCTGACCTTGTGATCCACCCACCTTGGCCTTCCAAAGAACCCTTCATCTTAAACTTTAAAGAGTGGTTCTAAAAATTTCTTCCTTGAAACACAGTAAACTATAGAGCTGACAGATAACTGATTTTTTATTGAATATGTAAATTATATCAAATGTTTACCATTCCACTTTTTTTTTTGAGACACAGTCTTGCTGTCACCCCAACTGGAGTGCAGTGGCTTGATCTTGGCTCAAGGCAACCTCCACCTCCTGGCTTTAAGCAAATCTTGTGCCTCAGCCTCCTGAGTAGCTGGGATTATAGGCATGCACTAGTACACCTGTAATCCCAGCTACCTGTTTTGCCATGTTGGCCAGGCTGGTCTTGAACTCCTGGCCTCAAGTGATGAGCCTCCCAAAGTGCTGGGATTACAGGTGTAAGCCACTGGCATGCCCGGCCCCATTCCACTATGTTGGATACAAAATATTTTGTTTCGTTTTTTAGGATACTTATTTTGTAATGTCACATTTGGAGGTTTAACTTTTCAAATACCGTCTTTTCAACTTTTTATACTGAAATAAAAACATATTATTATTAAGTGAAGTCAAGCAGACACAAAATAGCTTCAGATTAAAGCAGTAGTTTTCAAAGAGGACAATTTATCCCCACCTGCAACCGCAGAGGACACTTGGCAATGTCTAGAGACATTTTTGGTTGTCAAAACTTGGAGAGTGTTACTGGAACTAGTAGCCAGGGATGCTACTAAACATCCTACAACGCACAGGAGAGTCCTCCACAACAATAAATGATGTGGGCCAGGGCCAGGAGCAGTGGCTCATGCCTGTAATCCCAGCACATTGGGAGGCTGAGGTGGGCAGATCCCTTGAGGCCAGGAGTTCAAGACCAACCATGGCCAATATGGTGAAACACTGTCTCCACTAAAAACACAAAAATTAGCCGGGTGTGGTGGCAGGCGCCTGTAGTCCCAGCTACTCGGGAGACTGAGGCAGGCGAACCGCTTGAACTCAGGAGGCAGAGGTTGCAGTGAGCAGAGATCGTGCCACTGCATTCCAGCCTAGGTGACAGAGCAAAATTCTGTCTCAAAAAAAAAAAAAAAAAAAAAAAAAAAAGTGGCTCAGAAAGTCACTAGTGTTGAGATGGAGAAACTCTGAGGTAACATGAGAGTGCCTGGAACTATTCACTATGGTTGTCACTCCATGGAGAAGGCCATCGTTTTGCCCAGCTGGCACAACTGCATGAGTCGGTGTTCCAGGCTTTATGATGAGGGAATCCCCACAGGGGCACAAGAATGCATACCCTGTAAGCACGTAATATGCATTAGCCTCTGCATTTTGTTGCCAGCAATCGTGTTGCCTATAGCACAATTTTCTACTTTTTTGCTTTTAATCTTTTGTGACAAATATGTATTTTATTGAAATGCTTACCATTCTGATTTATTCAGTTACAGTGCAGTGCAATATTGGGATCTCTAAAGCAGTTAGATGATTTATGGACCCAGTAAAATAGAATGAAATAGTGAGATGTATGGGGAAGGGGCTGGGAAAGGGGTGTGCCTGCTGGGGAGTTTTGAAGCTGGGTCACCCGGGAGGATGCACTAAAGGATGTGAGAGGATGCACAAAAGGATGTGAGAGCTCATGAAACCCGGGGAGCTGTGAGGCTAGCCAGGTTGGACTGGGGCCTGCTTCCCTGGGGAACTTCACGTGAATTCTTCAAATGGGCTAATTGCTGCTGAGAATTCTCCAGTGGGACCCCTCTGTGTGTTTCCCTCTAGAATGAAAGGGAACTGGTGCTGAGGACCACAGGAACTTTCGAGGATGGTAAGAAAATCAAAGCCACTCAGCTACTATCCTCATTTCTAATTCAACTAGAAAGGTGTCTCATCAAATAGTGTCACTGGGTACCAGTAACCTTTCTATAGGAGTACAGTCCTCTACTGGTTCTCAGCGGCACTCAACTATGGATGCACCTTGAAATTAATTAGGGAGCTTTAAAAAAAAATCCCAACACTTAGGCCTCATCCTATAAAAATCAAATCAAAATTTTTCAGAGTGGTGGGTGATGGAAAAAATGGGAACCGTACTTCAAGAACAGCAGCATAATTGCATCTCTAATTTTGGGAAATGTGTACTCTGAAAGTACCCTAAAAATATATATACATATGCATATATATATATATAGTGGGGGATAATAAAGTTTATTTAAAGATCATGTTGTTACAGACTGTCATCTTTGAAATACATTAAAAAATCCTGGAACGAAGATCCATCATACAACACAGTGACTGTAGTTAATATTGTATACTTGAAAATCACTAAGAGAGATATTAACTGTTCTCAATGCAAAAAAAAGATATGTGAGGTAGTCCATACATTAATTAGCTCAGTTTAGCATTCCACAATGCATCCATATTTCAAAACATCATGTTGTATACCACAAATAAATATAATTTTTGTCAATTAAAATTTGTGAAAATGCTGGAAGAAACTGAGTTCTCTTTAATACAAAAGGAAGTACTGAGAATTGACAACTTTGGGGAAGATATCAGAAGATGAAATACTAATTCCGAGGATATTATCAGAAAGACATAGCAACACGGAGATGGAAACACCATAAAAGGTTGTCGGTGAATTGCACAGGGACCCTTACTGAATACCAGAAGTGTCCGGCTTTTAAAATTAAAATGGCCCCCACCTTTAACCTTCTAAAAATGAAGCTAGAAAAGGGTGATGAGATTTCTAATATTGAAACCAATGAAGAGGAAAACCAGGTTATGTGTTTGATCTATCACTGAACTGACTTTATAAAAGGCTCTAACAAAAGAACTACATGGAAATACCGAGAAGAATGAAGGTTCTCAGCGAGATAGGAGGGTTTACAGGAAATAGTTTTGGCATAAGCTTTTCTATGGTTAAAAAAAATGTTGCTTTTGATAAAAGGCAGAATAAAGTCAGAAATGATAGTTTTCACGAAAGTCAATGTTCGCAAAGAAATCCGAAGGTCCAATAGGGTTTGGGCATCATCTTCTAGCATAAGATTTCTGTCTACCTTAGAATGAAGGGAATTCATATTTTCAAAGTAGACTGCAGATTTAGGTTTTCTCGTGTAAATTTTCATCTTGCCTTACTTTGTTGAAATTCTGGTCTATGAAGTCCCAGCAAGTGTGTGAGACGATCCTAGGAACTGGAAGAAACAACATTATAGCTTTTTTTTTTTTTTTTTTTTTTTAATACAGGGTCTTGCTCTGCTACCCAGGCTGGAGTGCAGTAACACAATATCACGGTTCACTGCAGCCTTGACCTCCCAGGCTCAGGTGATCCTCCCACCTCAGCCTCCGGGGTAGCTGGGACTAATGGTGCATGCCACTGTGCCCAGCCAATTTTTCTTTTTTTCTTTTTTTTGTAGAGATGGGGTTCCTCCATGTTGCCCAAGCTGGTTTCAAACTCCTGAGTTCAAACGATCCTCTCGCCTTGGCCTCCCAAAGTGCTGGGATTACAGGTGTGAGCCACTGCACCTGGCCAATGTAGCCTCGAAAGTCTTGAATATTATATGAAAACAAAGAACAAAATTGCCAGAGTGCGTTTCTTTACTCATAATTCCCCTTGCTGAAGTTGAATTTTCTTCAGCAAACTTGCAGAGGAATGTTTCTTGAACACAAACTAAACAACCAAAAATAATACTTTTCTGATCAAGTTTGGTAATTAGCACAGCAAAATCCCATACATTTATGGGACACATTAGCTCAAGGGGTAAAATTACATACAATGTGCAATGATAAGCCCTGGCTGAGTCAATAACTACAAAATGGACAGTTTCTGTGTTTGGAAATGGTTGGTGGGTTGGCATGGGCAAGTTTAGTCAGTTGAACACATTTCATAAACTGTTTACTTGCGACGTTGAAACCATTTACAATACTTGGTGGGTTTTCTTTTTTTTTTTTTTTTTTTTGAGACGGAGTCTCGCTCTGTCACCCAGGCTGGAGTGCAGTGGCCGGATCTCAGCTCACTGCAAGCTCCGCCTCCCGGGTTCCCGCCATTCTCCGGCCTCAGCCTCCCGAGTAGCTGGGACTACAGGCGCCCACCACCTCGCCCAGCTAGTTTTTTATATTTCTTAATAGAGACGGGGTTTCACCGTGTTAGCCAGGATGGTCTCGATCTCCTGACCTCGTGATCCGCCCGTCTCGGCCTCCCAAAGTGCTGGGATTACAGGCTTGAGCCACCGCACCCGGCCGGTGGGTTTTCAAGGCCAGCCTACATTGGCATCACCATGTGGTAGCACCTAGCACCCTGCCTAACCACCCGAGACACACACTCCCATCACTCTTTGCCAAGTCAATACACTTAAGTCCCATGAGTCCATTCCTGATTACCATCAGTTTTGCATGGCATCCTTTTCCTTCACGCTCCAAAACCCCACTGATTTACACATTGTTTATTTTTTGAACTACCTTAAAATCCATGCAAACAGAATTCTGCTGTATGTAAGATGAAAATGCACATATCTCTGGGGCTATTTTACCAACCTTGGGGTCTTTCTCCATGTTGGGACATAGCCTATTTAGAAATCTGCTTATAATAAAAACTGACAACACCCGTGACAAAAATAAGGATATACTATTAAAATAAAATGATATACAGTACTGTCATTATTCTGATACAGAATTTTTACACAGCAATATTGATACAGGTACAAACGGCAATCCATTACAATCGACCTTTCGGTTACAAACAACGTTTAAATTACAACTTAATACCGATTTAAAAATGGTAATCAGTGTTGTGCCAGATTAAAATAAATACTTCCTCTTCAAGTGACATTTTCTAGAATATCTCTAAGTAGGAGACTAAGAAAAAAAAACTTTATAAAAAGAAAAAGAAGTAAACGTAATCTTTTATTTTTAGAAAAACCCAAACCTAGAAATCTGGACTAAATTAATTTAGCTTTCCATTCCTTCTGTCCACACACCAGCCCAACAGCAGAGCCGAAGTCCTCTTGAGTGACAGGTTTAGGAAGGGTCCGGCAGCACTCCCAGCGTCCACGCCATGAGAGGAGTTTGGAGTGTCAAGTTCACATATAAACTCTTTTCACTATTTAAATAGCCGGCAAAAAGCTGGATTCCCATCAGCGATTCTGCCATGAAACTCAGAGATAAACCTACCACTTTAAAATGCACGAGCAGGGAAGAGAAATGGAGAAAAATAAAGTAAGGTAAGGGCCTTGAAATTCTTTGAGGTGGAAGAGGCAAGGGACCAAAAGTTGTATGTATGTATGTATGTATGTATGTATGTACGTATGTGTGGCGGGGCACAAATGGGGCTTGGGATGGTGAGGAAAAAAAAAGTTTCTCCAACAAAATATCAAATTCCTATTTTCCTCATTTTTGTGAAAATGGGTATGTTTTTGACATTTAAGAAAAAAGCCAAACCAAACCAAAACACAAACAGGGAAATGAGAACCAGTTCCACAATGCCTTACGCTTTATATTTCTATCCAAAAGTAAAATTCCCGATTTAAAAAAAAAAAAAAATCATTTAAAACTCAAAGATAAAAAAGTTACTTGGAAAGTTGAGGAAGCAAAAGCATTTCTTTCTGGCACATTTTTTGTTTGGCACAATCACAAGTAAGACTTTACAGATAAGATGTGGCTATTCACATTTGGTTTCTACTCTAAAGCGATTACTTTCGGGCTAAACAAATAAATCGGTTAAATGAAGTCCGTAAACAGGCCAAGCCTGGCAGACATGGGCAAGTGTGATGCATCCTCCGCCCAACAAATGGAACCTAAATAAAAAAGAAAACGGAGTCAGAGCTGGAAAGGTTTCAAAAACAAACACACCAAACCATTCTTGAGATAGCTATTTAAATAACAACTAGTGTTTACTGAGCGTTAACTACCCATTAGGCAATACGCTCAGTACTTTTTATTTATTTATTATTTATTACTTTTGAGACAGAGTCTTGCTCTGTCACCCAGGCTGGAGGGCAGTGGCACAATTTTGGCTCACTGCAACCTCTGCCTCCCGTGCTCAAGTGATTCTTCTGCCTCAGGCTCCCGAGTAGCTGGGACTACAGGTGCATGCCACCACGGCCAGCTAATTTTTGTAGTCTTTAGTAGAAACAGGGTTTCACCATGTTGGCCAGGCGGGTCTCGAACTACCAACCTCAAGTGAGCTGCCTGCCTCAGCCTCTCAAACTGCTGGGATTACAGGTGTGAGTTACCACACCCAGCCTGCTCAGTACTTTTTATATGTTATCCTTTCCCATTCTTACAATCACCTTGTAAAGATGGCAAGCACTTTAATTGTACCCATTTTACAGATGAGAGAATGAGGCAAAGAGAGACTGGTATATTGGCCAAGGGCACTTATCTAAAACTTGAACCTTGGCCAGCAGTGACTGGGCCCAAGAGACCAAGCTTTCAGTCCTCAAGCTGTACCGCCTTTCACTTTTTCTCATTTATTTCTTTTTATGGTATCCTATCACTGAAGCTCCTTAAGCTTGAAGCTGGTATCATGGGCATGACCATGTCTATGCAATAAGCAAATATAAACTCACCATCAATGAGCAATATATAAATGCATACATGTGCACACAGATGCCAGGAGTCAAAATGCTGGGAAAAAACTTTAAAAGGAACAGAGGAAAATCAGGGAAGAAGGCAAGCTCAATTTGCATAAATGGAACAAACCACGTAGCAGTGAAAGGTCTGCTTCATTTGAGAGTCACTCTAAGAACCCAGCCCATGTCACCAGCCAAGCTGGGTTGAGGAGGGTCAACCGACAGCGAGCATGGTGGTTGTGTCAGCGGCAAATGGTGTACACTCCAAATATGTATGCTTTCTAGAATAAAGACAGCAAATGTTATTTTCCCTCCCCTAAGGAATAGCACCTTCCTGAGAATCTGCCTGTCTTACAAGTTATAGGGAGAAAAGTTTAATCCCAGGCCTGGAGCGTCTGTGAAATCAGATGGCAAGTAACTCTGATTCAGGCTAAAGTGAGAGAGACGAGTGACTACAGACTCATATCTCAGAGATGTTTCCATAGTTTAAACATGGCAGAGGATGTGTTCTTCCTGCTTCCAAACTCAAATGCTTTATTCAACATCATTCTAGTGTATTTCTTATTCTGTTCCACCAAAACGGGCCACCCCACATCAATGATCTGTCCTTATGAGAAAAGCTGAAATGCATTGTTTAGATGCCTTCCAGATAGATTTCTTTGTATATATCATATAGATATCGACATAGATTACCAAAGCTGTCTACAGACAGTGGCAGAACCATTCCAACCTTATATCGGCGCTGAACTGATAGGACAGACCCAACTCTATGGTAGTGCAACAATGTAAAGGCTAATTCTTCTGGGCATGTCTTTCGGTGGTACCACACTCGCATTCTTCTTACCTCCTTTTTCCTTTTTCTTCTCTTCCTCTTTCTTCTTTCCTGCCTTCCATTTCCAAAATTGTTCTGGAAGGGCCAGGGAGATGATTGAGATCAATAAATACAAAGGGAAGAAAAAGAGGCAATGGGAGGGCAGGGTATGTATGTAGTGAACTGGTGGAGCAAGATACAGCCAAGCCATCCCAGTTCCTCTGTCCTTCTGCTGTGTCATGACTTCCCAGGTTCTAATGACAGCATCTACATGCAGACATGTTCGCCACTGGATTAATATAGACTTGCGCTCAGAATGGTTCTGTCACTGTGTGTCAAAGGGAACACTGAGGGCTGGCTCTTTTGCTGCCACCAAGAACACATCAGAGGAGGTGAGTACAGCTGGACTGGCTTAGACAATTATAAGTGGATAGCATGAGAAGTGATCATCAATTACCTTTATAGCCCATTCTGACCCTGAGACCTTAAGTTTCCTTTCTGCCAAGCCTAAAACTGGTGCATGGGCCAGTGATTCTCAATTAGGGATGATTGTGTCCCCAGGGGACATTTGGCAATGTCTGCAAATGTCTTCATTTGTCACAACTAAGGGCAGAGAGGGGGATGCTCTAGGCATCTAGTGGGTAGAGGCCAAGGATGTTGCTAAACATTTTACAATGCACAGGACAACCCCTACAACAAAGAATTATCTGGCACAAGATGTCAATAGTGCTGAGGCTGAGAAAAACAGACACAGAGAGCAATATCCAAGTAAAAGGAGCCTGAAGTGTGTCAGTGAAATACACCTATAATGAGCATGTTAAATGTTATAAACGGAGATCACCAAGTATGTTTCTTTCATTTACCCATTCGACAGATACTGAGTGCCACCTACATACCAGGCCCTATCTTAAGTGCTGAGCATACAACGATGAGCAAAACAGGTGAGGGTGCACATCATTGTGGCGCTTCCCTCTTAATGATATAAGACAGAACACCAGTAAAATTGTTTCAGCTGCTTATGGGTGCTCACAGCCTTCTGCTTTCTGCATCGTGACACTATGATCACTCTCTGGACTGTCACATGGGGTGGGCAGTACCTTGGGCCTGGTAGAAAAGAAAAATCACGTGGATTGTGTGCCATGGGTCAGTTCTCAGAAGGCATCATTTATGAATGTCATCCCAAACCTCAGCACCAGATTTTTGCTTTGTCTGAGAGAGAGGTAAGTGACTTCCTTTTGAGGTGAAGCAAAGGTCCTGGACTGAGATTACTCAGCTAGGAGGGAATAATGCTCATAGTCAAACACAGTCCTGCTTTCTTCCAGATTTTGCTCTCTTCTCAAATACCACCAAGCCCAGACACCAGACTCTCTAAAGAGGGGACCATACCTGTTTTACTCATGAGCATATAGCTCTTAGTCTTGTACACAGAAAACACTCAGGAAATACTTGCTATGTGCCAATCACATGCCCTGCAATGCCCCACAGAGACTAGAAGCTCCCCAAAGGGCAGAAGTGAGATGACCGTCTCAGATCCCGAGGCTCCCCTCACTACCCTGCCCAGCTCCGAGCAGGCAAAACGTAACTCACACCACCAAACTCAGAGATAGACTCACCATGAAGCCCAAGAGGCCAAAGCCCCTCTCATGTTTAGGCCTCTAGTCCAGGACCTAGGAGGGACCCTGGTAGTGTGTTCACGAGGTCATCCGTTTTTGTGAAACTTTCAAAAAATACTTTGTAATCTTTAAATCAAGGACACCGAGACCGTATGAACATCAATCTGGATCTGCCTCGACTGACCCTAACATAATGATTACGTTGAACTGCAGGGTCCTTGATACTGAGGTGCTTTTTTCTCATTCAAACCCAGTTCACTCAGATCTGTGAGCTCCTAATGACAAAAACCATGATTCCTTTTCTCTTTTCTTTTCTCTCTTCTCTTCTTTTCTTTCTTCTTTCTTCTCTCTTCTCTCTTCTCTCCTCTCTCTCTCTCTCTCTCTCTTTCTTTCTTTCTTTTTGTGAGTCAGAGTCTTGCTCTGTTGTTGCGCCCAAACTGGAGTGCAATAGCGTGATCTCAGCTCACTGTAGCCACCGCCTCCCAGGTTCCAGAGATTCTCCCACCTCAGCCTTCCGAGTAGCTGGGACTACAGGAACGTGAACCCACGCCCAGCTAATTTTTGTATTTTTAGTCGAGAACGGGTTTTGCCATGTTGCCCAGGTTGGTCTTGAACTCCTGGCCTCGAGTGATCCGCCCATCTCAGCCTCCCAAAGTCTGGGGGTTACAGGCATAAGCCACTGTGCCTGGCCAAAAGCCATGATTTCTGATATTATACACTCAGTAGATGCCTGTCAATTTCTTGACTGGCCCATTCACTTCTAGATTTACAGACACTGAATGACAAAGCTAACAGGCGTGTCTCATAATCACAAATGCATGAGAAAGTGCTTACGGAAGATGCACACCAGAACCCCTTAGTCCAAACTTCATGGTTTACTTTAGAATCAACCAACACTCAATGCAAAGTTTCCAATAGCCTAGAATTCCAAACAGCAAATTCTAGAAGTTACCGAGGCAGAACATCCAGCACTTTGAGAAAGCATGATTTTTACTCTTTTACAGCACTTTTAAAGAGAAATTAGCACTTATAAAAGGGCAACATGAGGGATCCTTATAGTGTGGAAATGTTTTGTGCCTTAACTGTATCAATGTCAATATCCTGCTTGTAATATTGTACTATAGTTTTGCAAGATGTCACCACTGGGAGAAACCGGGCAAAGAGTATGTAGTACCAAAGTTGAGAAAACCTGTATTAGACTAAAGCCTATTTCTGTCTTGTAAGCCCTTTTGCTGAATTGAAACTATAAAACACAGCTATGATGCTATCCCAAGAAATAATAATAGACAGTAGCTCTTGACATCATGATAGGAAAGATGAGAAAATTAGCATATTATGCTTTCTTCCCCATCTGTTGCAAATTTTTAGTTGCATTAGTTATATTTTCGTGTTTTAAAATTTTTTTACTTAAAAATACATTAAAATTTTAATAACTTCATATTCTGAAATTATAATTATGTTTACAATGTTTTGTTATAGGCTGGTTCTAAAATAGAAACCACTAATAATTTTTAAAATATTAAGTTAAAAAAACAAACAAGTACCAGGTTTTTATTTGAATTTTCTTCCTTCAGAAAAGGAAAATATATTGGTCAACTTTTAAAGTGAAGTTTTTAAAAAATCCTGGTGCTAAAAATGTTCACATAAAAAGTGCAGCAAAATTTAAAACAAGATTGTTTGAAGGAAACATAGTTGTTTAAACTGAACAAATTCAGAAAACAACATGCAGTAAAAATTAAAGTATTAGTCACATAATTATTGAACACTAAAAAGTGTTCAAAGCTTTAAAACCTAAACAGTCAAAATGGGAAGGAAATGGCTAATCTTCTATGTAAACTTTGGAAAGTAGAGGCATTAATAGAAACGTTGTTTTGTTTTTTTTTAAACAGAAAGTTTCTTCTATAGGCATTATTCAGTAAGTCATTCTTAACTGTTAAAAAATTGTGAAAAATGCACCTGTAATCCCAGCACTTTGGGAGGCCGAGGCGGGTGGATCACAAGGTCAGGAGATCGAAACCATCCTGGCTAATACAGTGAAACCCTGTCTCTACTAAAAATACAAAAAATTAGCTGGGCATGGTGGCAGGCACCTGTAGTCCCAGGTACTCGGGAGGCTGAGGTGAGAGAATGGTGTGAACCCGGGAGGCAAAGCTTGCAGTGAGCTGAGATCACGCCACTGTACTCCAGCATGGGTGACAGAGTGAGACTCCATCTCAAAAAAAAAAAATTGAGAAAAATGAATACCTGTTAAAGCTATTATTTGCTTTAAAATGTGTTTAGAAAATATGCATACTGTGTTTCCTAGGTGAACTCATATATTTTATTCCATCTTAAAATTATCAAATACAAAGTTCAAAACTATACAATTATAAAACAATAGCCTGTCAGGGACTGCAAACTCTACAAGTTAATTGGTACATCTTAAATAAAACAGTAAACTGACCTCGGTAGCTATCAACTCCTACCTATGGTTCTCAGTTTCATTCATCAAATACTGTTCACTTGACCCAAATAAACAGATTTTTGGTGGCTAATGACTAAGCTGAAACAAAATAAAAAAATCTACATAGTGTCTACATTTTTACTGTCTACTAATGAGCCATTAAACTTCAGAGCATAATTGAATACTGTACATAATGTTCATCAGAATGTACTGAGGAAAAACTTTTTCTTTCTTGAGTTGTTTTGAAAAGACTACACAGCTGAGAGATATTCTGGAAGAAACTAGATTTTTTTTTCTACAATAGGTAAATTTCATCTGGAACAAGTAGCAACTCTGGGACCTACTCTTAAAATAGGTCATCAAAATAACCTTTGAAAATGTATTTGAAGACAAAAAAGCAACCAATATGAAAAGTTAGAAAATAAAATTCCAGAAATACATTTCAAGTGAGCATCTGAAAACCATACTCTGTTATTTAAAGATTTCATTATTGGATCCCTGATAAAAACAAAATCAAAGAGATGTAGCCAGGCTTATGAAAGAAGACTGCATTTGTTTATTTTCAAAATTAATCTTGGACTAAACCTGAAATTGAAGTTATCTAGGAACTGGGGAAAAAGAATTCGGTTCTCTTTTAAATATTGCAGAGGACTGGAACACTCAAAACTATCGGATGGCACAAACTCCCAGTCTGAACTGTTATCACTCATTCCAGTGATCATTTTGTCTCTATTATCCAAACAAACCAGTTTTGGTTAATTGGACTAAAAAGTGTTCAAATGAAACCCAACGAGTACTTTCATGGAGGTAGAAGCGTGTAATGATTAAGACCACATAAACAATAGAGTGTCACAAAGAATAAAGTTGAGTGTCTCTTGTTTACTCACGGCCTGTGTTGCTGAACCCCTCTGAGGCTTAATGTTGTGTATAGGCTTGTTGTATTAAATAAGAAGTATATATACAACATTTAATATAGAGGATCCGGTATGTCACAGTATTTAACAAGGTGCAATTATGATTGTTATTAACACAAACATAGTTCCACAGGAAGTGTCACTTTTCCCTTGTTTTAGTAAACAGGCTACGTGATTCTAACATCTAAGGCATGTGAAACTATACTAATACTGTATAAAAACAACACAATTTTCCTTTTTCCAGACAGAGTCTTGCTGGAGTGTAGTGATACAATCATGCTCACTGCAGCCTGAAAATCCTGGACTCAACTGATCCCCCCCGGCCCGCCATCTCAGCCTTCCTGGTAACTAGGACTACAGGTATGTGCCACCATGCCCAGCTAATTTTAAAAAATGTTTCTATAGAGACAGGGTCTCACTATGCTGCCCAGGCTGGTCTCAAATTCCTGGGCTCAAGCAAACTGCCTGCCTCAGACTCCCAAATTGCTGGGATTACAGTGTGAGCCACTATGCAAGCCAAAAACAACGTAATTCTTAAAGGAGAAAGTTAAGAGTAAATGTTTCAGAGACAATGACTTAAGTGTACAAAAGATAACTCATAATTCAATGAGGGTGCTGAAAATAACAAGATCAATGCTAAAGGCAGCTGGGCCAGTGGCCCCTCTTCTAGGGAAGTCTGGCATTGAGACACACAACTAACACTTTAAACCTCTTCTGTCCAAGAATAAACAATGCATGCCGTGTTTTTTAATGACAGTGCAGTCTTGCATGGTAAAACCACAGGAGGGATGGTTTAAACGTAACAGGAAGCATTTCACAAGGCAACCACAGGAAAGCCAAAAGCAAATTCAGTCTTTAGATAGGCCCAAACAACTGGAATCCACATTACGGCTTGCAGAGCTAAACCTGGGTCAAGGGGCCACAATTTCTTTCATTCTGTTCACTCCGAGGAGGTCAAAATATTAACTATTCTCTGGGACTGTGGAGTACAGGAAAGATGCTTGGCTGTATTACATTTTAAAACCCTAAATCACATGTGAAAAAATAAGACAGAAAACGGAATTTGGTTTGCTTTGAAAACATTCTACTTGTTTTTAAAAGAAAGTATACAATGTGTAGAAAGAACACTCTGAAGAGACTGAGCTCAACCTCTCGCAAACCACCTGGCCTAGGACTTGCAATGCCTCTGGAGGCACTTTACTGATGGGAAAAATGCGGAGGTGGAACCAGAGGAAGGCAACGCAACCTGGCATTGCTGGGGGGCTCTGTTGAGGCCTCACCGTGTTTCAAAGGTTTTTAATCAGAAGGCCAAGAACTCTCCAGTTCCACATGCCTTCTGCCTCCCACCCACCCGCTTCCTCATATAATGTAAACCTTACCGACCCCTGTAGACAGGTGGGTCTGCAACCCTTGGGGACACAACCTCTCAAGCCCTGTCCAATCCTGCCATCCTATGATCATGCCATTACTGTTAATAACTTTTCAAAAGTGTTGTTTAGGTCACTGTGATATTCAGTTGACAGATAATACAGCAAGTTGGAAAATTAAATATCATCAATCTCTAAAATTGTGAACAATGTATCCTGTAGGTAGAGTCAAAATATAGACTGTTTAAACTAACATACAAGAGTAACTGTATCATCGATTTTCTTAAAAAAACCCAAAACGCAGAGCTTATGCCTTATCAGTAGATCTAATATTAAAAGTAATCTTTTCAAGAACTTCTATACTCCGATTTCTGCAAAGATGCATACTAAAGTATAATATTTATTTTTGTTCTAAATAAATTTTAAGCAAATTCATGTGTTGGAAATTATATTGGTAAAATGCTTCTAACACTATGAGAGCAATAACATGAAAATTATCACTGGAGTAAGAAAGAGAGAGGATACAATTCTTTGAAATGAAAGGGGAGAGGAGAGGGGGTAGTTTTCCACTGTTATCCTTGCTAACATCCAATATTCATTTGTTTGTCGAGCACATTACCCGGTCCTTCATGTCATACAGACCTCGCTCGCAGTTATCACAGTAGAACCACCATGAATACAAATATATATATATATACTAACTTTACGAGTCAGTGGATGGCAGCTGTCTCCCAGTTTGCCCATAGGTGTGCAAATCCTTATGCTCTTAACCCAGATACTGACAGCACAGCACATGCCTCCACCACATTGGGAGTCCTTGTCACAAGCCTGAAATGTAATAAACAAACAGATAAATATAGATAACAGGAAAGACTCAGGCTAAGGAAATATAAAATTGGCAGTGAAAATTCCCTTTAAATATCTAAACACTTCAACTTTAATAATCACATATATTTTAAAAAATGATAACCTTCATTTACTTGTATATATCTACAATACAATCTGATCAGAATAGCTATTTCTTATTTTTTGAAATTGGGCTAAATTCTAGCCCCTGGATTATGAAAATCTTAAATAAACATAAGATTTTTTTAAAAAGTGAAATCAGCTCTCTTTTTCCAGCGCTTTATGGCTGAATTGGCTTTGAACTTGAAGAACAAGACTATATTAGTCTTATACTACACATGGCCATTAGGAACTATATAAATCCAATCACAAGATTTTATGACTATTAACTGCAGAATACTTTGGGGCCAATTTTAAAAAAGAGATTTAAATACTTTCTAAATCTGGCATGAAACACTCCAGACCCATAACGGCACTGAGGTAAATTTTAGAAGTGCTCATTTTCCCTTTCAAATATTTGCATTTTGGTTCATGAGACTTGACATTTCTCACACCACTGACTTGCTTTCTCATCATTTTCTCTTTAAAGAAGTCTCATAGGTTGAGAATGGACAGACCAAGATGCTTGCCTTATGTTACTCTTCCTTCAGGTAAATAAGCTGCAAAGAGCAAATTACTGGCTTAGGATAAACATATATGCACATTACAAAACCAGCTAACAATCCTGTAAGATCCATCAGTTTAAGAAATGCAAGTGACAGGTGCAATTGTCAATAGTAATTACTCAAGGCACCTGCTTTCAATATAAAAGTTGTAAATACATACAATGAAACAATGGAGGAAACAATGGAATGAAACAACTATGGAGCAATTTCCATACTCTACTAAATAGAAACAAATAATGAAGCCTAAATTTATTTGCGTGAAAATGGATCTGAAGAACTATTATTCTTTCCTAGAACCAACAAAAAATAGAATGCTTTGTTTGAACCGTGGGCAGTAATCTGTTTTGCTAGTGATAAGATAAAAACATCCTGTACTATATATGTAAGAAACTAAAACCTCTATCATTTAGGCACAAATTTAAATGTATAATTAGTGGAAACAACTAAAACAGTCCTTCAAAATTCTTAGTTTTGAGGACAGTCATAACTTCTCAAGACATAAAAATATGGGCACATTCTTAACATTATTTCTCATTAAAAGTAACCAACCATTTTACTTTAAAGTTCATTTACTTCCCTCATTGGAATATCTCTCTCAGTCTATCTAAAACAAGTATCTGGATAAAAGGTAAAAATTTCACCTTGAGTTTTTGGATTCATCTTGAGGTGTTTGGATTTTACAGGACAATACATAAATGTTTCAACTTTCCAATTTTTATCTGCATGCCAGAAATCATGTAAATGTAGCCATTGCATCCCATAAATAAGATGTCTAGTCAATGATCTTTTACAATATAGTTTTAACAAATCTATGTGGGCATACAAATCAATTTCAAAATACCTACATACACTACCCAAAAAACTGTAGATGTAAGATGGAAGTTTTAGCCAGTATTTTATTTCAACAGATGCTCAATACCCTGAATTTTGAGGCCCCATGAGCTTTTTTTAATGAGACAATCAAACATCTAGCCAAAATCCTTTAAAATTCAATCACCTGGATGTTTAACATGCTATATACAATATATCTTGATAAGTTACTGAATTTTTCATTTGAATCCAGATGATTCCTGTCATAGAGACATAACTGCAGTTTATTGCCCTGTTGCTTTAGAGACATTTTTAAAAATTCTCTTTTTGTAACACTGAGTTAAAATAACAACAACAAAAACAGCACACATAACTATATAATAAGCCCAGTCTAAGCCTCTCTAACAGATAGACAGCCAATGTGATAAAATTTTATTTTGTAACAAAAGCTTCAGTTCTTGGAAAATTTACAAAGAGTTGCACAGGTTTATATATTTTTAATTAGACAGCTGTTTCCTAATGCCCTTCATCCTTAACCCATTGCAAATCTATTCAGATAGTGTTGTCCTGTGAATGGAACAAAAAGATACTTATATTGCAAAGGGATCTTGGGCTCAGAGGATTAGGAGAAACTTTAAATGAGCCAGCAGGAGAAGAGGGAGAAAAAAATCCAATCATGTTTCAATTCTCATGTATTAGAAAGACCTGCAAAAACTTTTTTTCAACCACATGGACTGGCAAAGCTATGCAAGTAATTTTTTAAAAAACCTCTTTTCTAATAAATATCACAGAGCTTACAGTTAAAAATCTGTTGGATATATACAAATGCTGTCATAGCATAAGGACTTCCACAATTCTATAAACCTAATAACTAATATAGAGAAAATAGGACTTGATTTTCTCAAGACAATGACATTTCCTTTAAAGTCAAATGTTATTTTATTATCTAGGTATCAACATTTCAAACATAGACATTTTATGTAAATCCTATTATGTGCACTTAAATATTTGAAGTAATTTAATGAAGGTGTGAAATAATTCCTCGCTTAAAAAAAAACAGTAAAGAAGTTGAACAACCAGGAAATGACAGCAGTTTCGCCTTGTTAATGTAAACCAGACTATTTACTATTGTACTGCAAACCCAATTCTTCAGATCCACACAAAATTGTTGGGAGTGGGAGAGAACCGAACTAGTTCCTGCTTACAAAAAAGACGAAGACATCTTTAAGTTTAAACATCTACACAGCAATCTACTCCATTATTATGCTGGAGCACTGGAGGTGCTTTGCCAGGAATTAGAAATTTAAAACTTTTATGGGGAGACCTCAAGACCCTGGCGGGGAAAAGCCCAGGAAACCAGAAGGAAGCGCCCACAATTGCTTTTCAAAGCGCTCACATGGCCCTGGACCAAGCGATTTCAAAGGGTTTCTGCGGAGGACGCATCGGGAGCAAACTCTTTGATTGTAGGATTAAGACTCTGGGCACTTGGGGAATTCGTCTTGGTCCTTTGCATTTCAGGAAGGGGCCGTCAAATTTTAAGGTTCGACGCTGGAGCGCCTCCAAAAGTACTTGAGAAGACTCAGAGAGAAACTTCTTTCAGCCTAACAGAAGAAAAATGCGAGGAGTGAGGCTGTGGGTGATGAGGGAGACGTCAGTGGGAGAAGGTGGTAATAAAGGTGGTGGGCGACATCCTCGTCACTTTTTCTTCCAGGACGCGCCCAGTGTCCCCAGCCGTCTGCTGCTTTTGGATCTGGGCATTTTCCCAAGCGCACCAAGGGGCGACTGGGGCAGGTGTCCCCACCCAGGGCGACCCTCCCTTTGCCTCTAGCCTGCCCTTCAGGGTCCCGTCCCAAGACCCCTGGGCACATCGCAGGCGCGCATCAGGGGCGGACAGGTGCGCCAGGGCCGCTTACCCCGGTGATCACGGCGGCGTCCCCGACGCGGGGCGTGAGCAGCAGCGGCGGCAGCAGCAGGAGGAGCAGGAGTGGGGCGCAGCGCGGGCTTCTCATGGCGCCCTCGGGACTGGGCGGCCGCCGGAGGCGGTTGGGGGCTCGGGGCCGGGGCGCGCTGGGTGGAGCGCGGAGCGGCAGGCGGACGGGCGCGGCGGCTCCCGCGAGCCTCGGGGCCGTTATAAAGGCTAGCCCCGCCGTGACTCACGCCGGCGCCCGCCCGGCAGCACACGCGGGGGGCACGGCGCGGGCACACACCCCACGCCCCACGCGCACACGCGCGCCCGCCTGGGCCCGGCCGGTTCCCAGACGAGCACGTGCTGCGCGCGGCCCCCCGCGCCCCCGCCTCGGGCGCCACGCAGGCAGCGCTCCTCGCGGGGCGCCCCGCTCCGCGCCGTTCCCTCCGCCGTCGCCCAGCCGCCGCCTTTCGCACGCGCCGGAATCGCTTTTGTGGTCTCCGAGTCACTCATTTGCTGTCCTGGTTTCCAAAACTCCACGTGCTCTGCGCCGAAAACTTGCAAATCATTTGCTGTACAGATGTTTAGGGGGCGCCTACTACGTGCCCGGCGCTGCAGACACATAGGAGGCGGGGGATGGGTGAGGGAGACACAGCAGCCCCTGAATCCATTCGTTTGCTCAGCAGGTCTGTACTGGGCGCCCGCTGTGTGCCAGGTACTGCCACCGGCTCTGTCCTCACGGTGGAATAACTTAACAGAGAAGACAGACATCAATCACATACCCTGGAAACGTGGAAGGCAGAGGAAAAGAACAAAGGGAGAGCAAAATCGCCCCAATCCCACATCCCCGACGACGTGGAAGGATTTGTCCTTCCAACTGCAGAACTCCTATTTGTTTCTTTCATGTCAGATGGCTTCCCTTTATGCCCACATCTGTTCCCGACCCTCTCCTCTGATTTTCCTCACATGTATTTCCTCCCCTCTTCAGCCCCGCGCCAGCTCCAGGCACAGCCGTTCAGGGTGATGCCAAAGGGAAATGAGAACGCCTGGTTTCGAGTGCCAGCCTGAGGCCCCTTAAGCCCTAGGTACGCAGCTCTCTCTTCTTTCTTTAACTTTCCAGCCCAGGAAAATCACCCTTCGGTTTTACAGATGCAATAGGGCATTATTGTGATTCGTTCATTCATGTAAACATGAATTGAGTGTCTAGTGGGTTCCAGGCACACCAGGAAAGAACAAGTGGCAGATTTACCCTCCATCTCTGACCCTAGCCTGGCTCCAAGAATTGCAGCCTGTTTTCCTCAACAAAAATGATGTCAAGAATACCTAGATGTGACCACACCAAATTTGCTTGCCCGTTTTGGGAAACCCAACTTTCTTCGTGAACAGTCAGAACCTCTGGCTTTCCTGGTCTCTTAAGAACCACAAACTATTGAAAAGCAGATGCGTCTTTCAGCCTCTTTAATAAATGCAGTAAGGAGAGTTGGGACAGAGTTACTTTCAGACTGTGGGGCTCCCCTATGCCAAAGCATGCAGACGAAATGTGGGGGCTAGCGCGGGGGAAGGCAGGCAATTATCTGAATGTTAAACAGCTGAATATTTGGAAACCCCACTCTTTGGCTGCTTTTTAAAAATCTTTTTCACACGTGTTCTCATGTTTAAAAAACACCATGAACAGAAAACACAAAAGGAGTTAAACGCTTTTTTTCAACTTAAAAAAAATGTTAAAATTGGACTCACAGTGGACTAAGTAGAAACAGTAGCAAGTGACAGACTTGTGGAAAGTTTCCTTTTCCAGTCTCCATGCCAACGCTAGCTCGGGAATGCTGCCGGGTAAATGTAAAAACCAGTCAACATGGATTTTAACATTCCTATGACTTTCTTTTAATGGTCTATTTCATATTCGCTACTATTGAATGCCAGCTTGGGTATTCCCTGCTTCTTCAAGCATAGAAAATATGGTATGTCTACATAGGAAAAATCAGATTTCAAAAGTGGCTGGCTTCTTACACAGCTGTTTGGGAAACAATCCTCATAAGGCTGTTTTGAAACAAGTTTAAAAAAAAAAAGAAACAAGTTTGGAAACACTTAAAAATAGGGTTGGTTTAGTTTCATGTTCTTTTGGAAATTTTAATTGTTTTAATGCTTTAGCAGAGAAATGAAGGCTCTTGATATGCCACATTTGTATCTGAGGCCAAGTTTGAAAACTGAAGTCTGACTTCAATTGTTATAAAGGGAAAAATGAAAAAAAAAAAAAAAGATGAAGAATTTGGATTAGTTTGTTAAAAAAGGCAGGAGGGACAACTTACCAACAATGAAATAGAAATGAAACAGTAGTTCATTGTTTCTGTTCTATTACTGTAACTGTTGATATTGCCACATGATCAATTCTGCCCAGGCATAACTGTATCAGGTGAAATGAGCCTTGTGTGTGTAAAGTATAGCCTACCATATTCCAGCAGACCATCAAGGCTCAGCTTAAATGAAAATGCAATCTAGGAGCGTCTGTAGAACCCCATGTTTGTGAGACAGGCTGATCAGGATTGGAATCCTGTGTGACCACTGGGCAAGTTACACAACCTTTTGAAGCCTCTATTTCCTCTCCTATAAAATGGGTATAAAATACCAACCTCATGGGGTACAACCCCTATGGAATTTAATACCTGCAAAATGCTTATCACAGTGCCTGGAACAGACTGGGAGCTCTGTCAGGGTTACCTCTTATTAAGTCTCATTATTTGGTCTCCCCTGACAATTTCAGCCAGCGCTGATATAGATCTTTTCTGTCCTGCCCACTATATTAGATTGTATACTTTTTGGGGTTAGGATCCTTGTGTCTAATTTTCTATGCATCTCTCTTGGCACACAGCACAATAATAGGCATATGGCAGGCATTCAGTAAGTGACCAGCAACAGGAATATGTCCCATGAAGGACAGTCCAGAGATAGTTACAAGAAGATCATATACAGTACAGACTCATGTCATGTATATGAGTCCATTAAAGGTAGTCATCAAAAAGCAAGAGAGATGGAAGCTTTACCTGGTGCAGATGATTCAGCCTATCCCTTTACTTGGGAGCCACGTGACTGAAATGAGGTGAGCTGGGAGACACAGGCCTGTCTCACAGTAGTCAGTTTGGGACTTGGGCTGACTAATAAGGCTCCATTTCAACATGTGCTTCATGATTTCCAGTGTAGTGGCCTATACTGTGTCCCCTAGAAAGCTATTTTCAAAGCCTAAGCCCTGGTACCTGTGGATATGACCTTATTTGGAAGTAGGGTCTTTGCAGATGTAATCAACTTAAGATGAGGTCATGTTATATTAGGGTGAGTTGTAAATTCAATGGCTGGTGTCTTCATAAGAGAAAAGGGAGGGAGAGCTGGATACAGAGACACAGGAGAGACTCCCCCACACCCGAACCCCCCCCCACACACACACAGGAGAACACCAAGTGAAGATGGGGGCAGAAATTGGAGCAATGCTTCTACAAGGCAAGGAACACCAAGGATTGCCAGCAGCCATCAAGATCTGAAAGAGCAAGGAAGGATTCTTCCCCAGATCCTTCACAGGGAGCATGGCGTTGTCGACCCCTTGATTTTGGACTTTTAGCCTCCAGAACCACGAGAGAATAAGTTTCTATTGTTTTAAACCACCCAGTTGTGGTAATTTTATTATGGCAGACACAGGAAACTAACATAGTAGGGTGCAGCCAGAGGGTTGTACACCAGCTTTCTCTGCCTAGAATTGATGCCTGTCACTTTTGCTCACTTTTTAGTGACCAAAACAAGCCACATGACAGTCTGTCTTCAAGGGGACAGACAGTGCAAGTCTGTCACTGGTTTCTGAAGACAAGGTATCAGGTGAGCAGTGCTATATTCTACAGGAAATGAATCATTCATGGCTTGGACTCCTTAATGAGCATAATGAACTTTGAATTATATTAGTAATTGCTATTATAAATAATGATGTGTAATTTCCTTTATGTTTTTTTCTAGTACAGCATTCTTTATACCAGAATTATACAAAGACTCTGAAAGTAAGTAAATGTGTAAGCTAATATTTTCTTTTAGGTAGGTAGTAAACCAAAATTTATTCATTCAACAGGTATTAACTGAGACTTACTACATTCCAGATATTGTGTGCAGCACAGGGGGTACAAGGGTGAGCAAAACAGACATGAACCCAGCCCCCTGGGTCTCATGGGAAGATGCACATGAATCAAATAATTATAAAAATTTATAACTATAGAAGATAAATTTAGGGTCACTATGAGAGAGCATATGAGGAAACCCAAATACTGGAATCTGGGATGAGAGGTGAAGGTTATGCAGAATTTAATTGAAGAATGAAACAGGGCTGGGTGCAGTGGCTCATGCCTGTAATCCCAACACTTTGGAAGGCTAGAGAGGAGGATTGCTTGAGCCCAGGAGTTCCAGACCAGCCTGGACAAACAGGGAGACCCCGTCTCTACAAAAAAAATTTTTAAAAATTAGCCAGGAGTGGTGACAAGTGACTGTAATCCCAGCTACCTGAAGAATCAAGGTGGGAGGATCACTTGAGCCTTGGAGGTCAAGGCTTCAGTGAGCTGTTATTGTACCACTGCACTCCAGCCTGGGTGACAGTGAGATCCTGTCTCAAAAAAAAAAAAAAAAAAGAAAGAAAGAAAAGAATAAAACAGCAGATGTGGAGGATGGCTGGGCATTCCAGACAGTGCAGACAAAAGGGTAGCCATGTGGCCCAAGGAATGTGCCTAAAGCAAAGTCTGGAACAAATACGGATCCAGAGGGATGGCAGGGACCCTTTGCGGGATCTTATATAGGCAACACTAAAGATTTTGGTCTTCATGGTTGGTTGGGGAAGGAGAAAAACCGTAAGAATGGGGCAAGTGTGACATGAGCAGCTTTCATAAGGAAGACCTCACTGCAGTGTGACTCAACCTGTCCACATCCCAACACCTTCTGGCAACCCCCGAACCCCTTTTGTTGAAGGCAACTCTATCCTTCCAAAGATGGCCCCGGAGTCATCTTTGACCCTTCTCATTCTCTCACATCTAAGGCCCATCTGTCTGAAAATCTTGTTGCCTTTTGAAGGCAAATCTACTTTGCCTTCGAAATTTATATGTGATATTGTAGATTATTGTTATATTAGTGATAATACAATATTTTATATTATAGTAAAATATAAATAAATACAAAATAAAATAAAACAATATATTTTAATAAAATATATCCAGCTAGTTTGCCCTCTGTCATGCTACCC